ATGCGACAACTTCTTCGGTCTTTTCTCTTATTTCCAGATACCACAGCTTCACAAAAAACGGGTGTAGGTTAGGACTCCACGAGAGGTCACGGCTGCCATGTTTCGCCTCGCCGCGCGCGGCGATTGCTGCCGTGATTGGACGAGACCCATACAGTCGTGCGATTAAGATCCCGGTCCCTTCACATAGTTCTGGCATCACGCAAATCTGCTTGGCATTTTGCCAAACTAGAATATTCAATGGGACGTCAATATTTTTGAATGGCAGCTGTATTTATTCAACGGATTGCTGTATTCCTTTAATACGACCTACTTTTCCACCTGGCCGCAATCTTAGGCCCTTCCAATACCTCACAATTGAGTGCAAAAGAAGGGTTCACCCCAATGTGAATTTTCGTAGATTGCTGATGTATTCTCTAAATATTATTTCTATGTAAATGGACATTGTTATACTAATAGTTGAACATCGGGCCTACTCCTTTCATAGTTTTCACACCTGCAAGTAATAAAGCAGACTGTTGGAAATCTCATGGACTATGCAAACGCCGCGCACATAGCGAAAACTGCCGCGTCGCGGCGGCAGGTTGACCTCTCGTGGAGTCCTAACCGTTCCCCCAGACCATCGATCTAGCGTCCACCAGCATCCAGAAGTACGGTATTGTGTGTTTGCGGTCGCACACGCTACAATTTCACGACGGCTAATTCGGCTGTCTCGTCCCTTCTACTTCTCCATACCCTACTAGCAGTCTGCTACCCCCCTCCCGTACACCCTCCATATTCTCTACTCCTGGTCACTGTTGGACCCTGGTGAGGCTAGATCGATATCCATACTTTCCTAATTCCTCAGAAACACTGATGTCGGAAGTGGTGTCCACGCTGCTGCAGAACATGAACGCAGCCTTAGCAGCGGCCGTATTTTCCACCAGCAGCTGCAGCAATTAGAAATAAAGAAATACAAATATTGGAAAAAGATTACACTCCAAAGAGATAAACCGTTTTGCCCGTTATAGCAGACGAATCATCGTTTTCTCCAACCCCCAGGCTCAACACCACAGAGTTGACGCCATGAGAACATGGACTAGGGGAAGGAGTTGAGAAATAGGATACCCACTATTCGTAGAAAACGCTACAGCTGTCGGGCTTCATTACCCCTTCCACACTTTGCCCCCCCCCCCCTGACACGCCCCGCAGCATCCAGTCCATGCTCAATAAGCGACTGATGCGTTACGCACTTACAGTACGCACATAGGGTACGGATGCATCACTCGAAAGCGAGTGATAAATGGGCACTGAGCTCGTGACTTGAGCGCAGCAGCGCTCCGGTCGGTCTAACCGTACAAGTTTCCGATAGCGTCTTTTAGTGCGCTTTTGTTCGTGCCGTTGAGCGTCTTTGCATCTCTACTCAGCGCGTACTCCTCGTCTATTGAAAGTCAATCGAGCCGAGCTTTAGACGGGTTCATACGCTTTGATCCAGCTTAGAAGATCAATCAACAGCTCGAGTCTATCTCTGGAAACCATTGTGTAATCGCTGGAAGTGCCTTTGAAGCCTTTTCTTTTGAGGTAATGATGGGAGGAGGAAGAGCCTTCTTCATGAATGCCACAAGAAATGGAAAGCGGACAGACGGCCGTAATATTGATTTTGCATGGGAACGACTAGGTGGCCGGCGTAAAGTATTGCGTTCTGTGGACGATCTGTGGCAATACGATGTTTCCAAGGGTGGCAAGGTGTTAGGTATGGTTTTCCATAGCAGAATTTGTTACAACAAAAGCTGTTAGAGAAATTTTGTGGTTCATCGTTGAACTAACTTCGGAAGCACAATTCACTTTGTACAGAAATGCTACTACAGTCGTTTCCGCTGCGTGTCAGCGGACCTTGGTTTGGCGGTGCCAGCCCTTTCTTCATAGCTTGCTGGAGCGGCAAGCTGCAATAATTGCTGGAAAACTGCACCAAGTCCAGCCCTATGACACGCTTCAGCGTATTCACTGCAGCACAGCTCATAACGCGGCGTTCGGAGGGGCGTGTCCACAGACCTAGTGTGAGCACGGCGGCTGCTGTATATCCATAGAAAGTTGTCTATTTGATGAGGTGAATGTCAAAGGAGGGACAAGGTCGTCTTGTGCCACCTGCAGTCCCTTGTGCTCATGTTGTCGGAACCGGCAAACATGTAACTAGCGCGGCGCTCTTTATTCAATACAGTGGACATACCTTCTTAAAGCTGCTTAGTACTGATTATAAGTTAAACTAGCTTGCAACAAGCAGGGCGTTGTCCCAGAAAGCGTAGTGGGGGAAACTTTCTTAAAAAGTGTGGTCGCTTCATCAAAAAGGAGTGAAAAATCCTGATACAAACTGCGATGGTTCGTAGTTGGTAGGTGGTCCTTAATGGTACTCAAAACAGGGAAACCTACGAGTATTTCCAATTTTTTGCGGTAATGGGTGACAGGTCAATTTTTATTATTCGCTACTAATGGTAAAGCACGAAGACACTTCCCGCTGCAATAGGCGGGAAACCAGTACCCGGTGGATCCAACATTATTGCATGGGCGGAGTAAGGCAGCCGTTGAGCCTCCCTCTATTGGACGCCCCGTTCCGCCCTAAGCGGCCGGGAAATAAAAGACGTGCGAAAGCACAGTAGTAGTACTGACTCTGCCCTTATGATCTGGGTACTGTGTCTTTGAGGCATAATCACTAGAGTACATTTGATCATAGAAATGACCCTTAGAAATGGCTTCGAGTCAGCTATAGTCGTCCTTGCACTTTCACTGGAAGTAAAACTGGACTGTCGTACTCGCTCCCGTCTAGGGCGAACGATCAGCTGCTGTAAACGTGAAATCCGTGGCTGGTAGGAGGTCTTGCTTACAACCGCCCCTTGTTGAGCTCAACAAACCGCCACCAGTTCCCATCAGGAGCCAGCGAAATCGCAATTACACCACACGTATGCGAATAACTTACACTCAGTAAAAGGTCAGAAAGGTGTTCTGGCGACGGCAAATATTCTTGTGCTGATTTTCTCTTTTACATACGCCCACGATCCCTGGAAACAATAGGGCGTGTGGTTGGAGCTTTTCTTGAAGCACGGCAAGGGCACATTCCCCATCAATCATCAATATGGCATCGCTGGTGAGAGGAGGCCGCCCTGGCCGCGCTCTAATTCACACCCTATTTACAGGGAACATTACTGCACTTACCGGCCTCTGATCCGTCCACACTCTTGCAGCTATCGCCGCGCTCGCAGCCGCGTACCTTGAAACGCCCTCGTTTTCGCTCAGAATTGGACAACAAGTTCGCAGGGGCACTTTCAGTAGATCGACCGGGGCAACAGCTACAGAGCATCCTTTTGCAGCCCGCAATCTGCAGCATAATGGACTGCCCTTGATAGGGGAAAACTCATAGTAACGCCAATCACAACGACACGGATAAATTGCCTTCTTGCCGTGTTCACTATGGCAAACAGTGCGGTCTTCATATCGATCCACTACATATTCCTCATTCTCACTGATATGAGGATCTATTTCAGGTCACAGGAAGTCCATTATTTCAGGCGTCTCTTCTCCGAAGACAACTAATGGAATGGCAATAACGTAAGAATGGAACACTGACGCCCAGCGTGAAGATGGATGACAGAGAAAGCGATCGAGATCATGCAAAGAGACCGGAAAGGGTTCTTTCTTATGGTCGAAGGTGATCCATTTATTTCTGAAAAACTATTAAGCGTTAAGAGGAAATTAAAGCATAAGTAAAAATTACACTTATTTGCCAAAGGTTTTAAAAATTAGCTGGAGCTGTTTTAGGAGGTCTTATAGATGTGGGCCAGCATTTGAACTCTATGCACAAGACATTCGCTGAAATGGAGGCATTTGAAGATGCCATCAGACAGGTGAGCATCTAAATTGTCCGTGGCTAGGGAACCCAAATTGGGTGAAGGCAGGTAAGGGGTGGCAGGTGGCAGAGCAATCGTGCCACGGTTATGTCTCGTTTCACCTTGTTGGCAACTATACACTGCGAAGCATAATCATAGTTCCACAAAAATGCCCCCATACAGAAAATGTGGTAATTACCAATACCAATTCGCATGCCAACACCAAACTCTAGCTTGAAAAAACATTTTTTTCGTCAATTTTTTCAAAAATGGTCGTTCTGACAACGCAGCAAAAATATAGTTCCACCGCATATTTTCCGGCTGCATCTCATTTTTGTTCGGTGAAACTTCTCATCATTATGACTTCTCGCCTCTTCTAGGCTATGGCAAGTGGAACTTCATTAATGGACCTCGAAAAAGGACAGATTATCGCAAAGAAGACTCAAAAACTGGTGAAGCGTCGATCGCTCGGGATTCGGGCCGCACTCATCATTCTATCAACAATTTTTTCCAAGGGACCTACAGCATATTGAGTTGAGAAGAGCTCTGGACATCCTCCTTTGCTGCCCGATCGGAATAACCGCGTATCCTTAGGAAAGCATCCAACTCTGCAGTGTCGGGAAATTAAGTCATCTTCGCAGGTTAATGTCTCGGAGGATACTGTTAGGCGTGTCTTGGAAAACTCCCGAGTTCACCCATAGGAGGAATATGAGTTACGTACTGTTTCTAACAAAAAACCATCGAAAACCTAATTGGCTTTGCTCGAAGATGTTGCCGAACCCAATGGAGTGAGGTTGGCTTTTGGCTGCGGTGCCCTACTGCTTGTCTGTAGTGTTTTTTCAGTTTTTTTTCTCGCGGTCGTGTTTTCTGATGAGAAAAAATTCAACTGCGACGGCTCCGACGAAAACCGATTCCGCTGGCACGACCTGAGGGAAGACAAGTTTCATTTTTCCGGGCGGAACTTCAGTGGATGTGGTCTCATGGTCTGGGCTGCCATCGCATGAATGGAACGTCTGAAACTGCGCTCCGTATGAAAAAAGAAATGATTTCTTCCGTCATCTAAAAGTCATGCGACGACGTCTCCTTGCTTTCTGGCGTAGAAATCAGCAAGAAAGTCCATGCAGGATAATGCACCAGTTCATGACAGTCGAAGCACTCGAGCGTGATTCAGTCGTCACCAAACCGCTCTTTTGCCCTGCCAGCGAGTAGCCCCGACTAAAACCCAATCGAGGATGTGAGGGGCTTCATGGTGCGTATGATCCATGAGTAATGCACAATTCCACAATGTCCGTGAGCTTAGGGAGTTAATCATTGGGGCAGTCGGCCGAAAGCCTATTAAAATCTCTAATCGAACATGGGCAACCGTATTTTCCAACTTAATTGGAGAAATTGAAGAATTGAATAGAATTGGAGATTTCCAATAGATTACTGGATCAAAATTTATTCATTTTATTGTACATTTGTTGTTGGAATATTCGATTTGTTCGGTGGAACTATCATTTTGCTGCGTTGTCAGAACGACCATTTTTGAAAAAATTGACGAAAAAAAATTGTTTTTCCAAGTTAGTGTTTGGTGTTGGCATGCGAATTGGTATTGGTAATTACCACATTTTTTGTATGGGGGGCATTTTGAAAAACTTCGTGTAAGACAGGATTTTGTGAGATTCATGGGTGGAACTATGATTATGCTTCGCAGTGTATGTCAAGTTTTGAAAGACCCACATAAGCGACTTTTCTGTTAGGGGGCGCAGGCAAGCAGACATGCGTGGCTTGGTCGCTCGTTGAAGGAG